AGGGGAGATGGTCACGCCGCAATCCCTTCTCCTCCATTCTCCTCTTGGGATCTTGGGCACACACGCACACGCGCCTGGCGTGAGTTTTAAGCCACCAGGTCTGGGACGCGAACCACGGTCTACTATGTGGGAGTCCAGGGACATAGCCATTATGCTAACTGCTGGTCCCCTGGACTTCTATTTTTATTTTATGATTTTATAATATGTATGCACATTTTAAAAAATTATTATTTTATTTAACATTATTTGATTGATTGTTTTTTTTATTTGACCAGAGGGAAAGAACAAGATGGAGAGAGAGAGAAGGAAAGTGAGAAAGGAAGCCACCAGGTCCGGGACTCGAACTGTGGTTGGACATGTGGGAGTCCAGTGTCCCTAACCACCATGCCACTAGCCAGCCCCTGTATGCACATTTTTATGAACCCCATTAACTCTACCATTTACATTTTCTCTTAAGAATACCTGGTTGGAAGAAAATAAAAGTATGAGGGGGCTTTAAAAAGTTTGTGGAAAAAACAGTAATTAAAGTATGAGTTTATTTTGGTGCAAAAAAGTTTTGAAATTCATGCATAGGTTTTTCATAATATCCATTTCCCATGAACTTTTTGAAGTCCCCCTCATGCAGTGGTCAGCTTTGTTTTGTTTTAAAGGGAGGGATGGGCTGGCAATTTAAAAAAATAGAGTAGTATCATGAATATGACCTGTGATCAGATTTTCTTTTCCCTCCATATTTTGGAATACTTAACCTGTATTTTTCTTCCTAGTCTCTGGAAAGTACGAGGCGAATCCTGGGTTTAGCCATCGAGGTAAGAAAGACTTTAATCATCAAGCAAAGTATAGAAACATATAAGAAGGATCCTAATAACATTCGTGGGAATTAGCGTTAAAGGGTATTGTACCAACTATGCACTAATGGGCCTTTACTGTTTTTCTGTTTGATGGTGTTGGAATATGACAGGGAAGATGAAGTCACCATGAATTTGCGACTTAATTATTTTTGGGGATTAATATGTTAGTTTAAGAATACTGGTTTTGTCTATAGCCCTAATCCTATGAGAACTTGGGTTTTAATTTTTTCTCTCTTGCCATTCTTCAGTCCTTGTAGGTTTTCTTGTTGTTGTTTTGGGTTTGTTTTGTTATACTGTTGGCCTTTTTTTTTCCTTCTAGTCTCAGGATGCAGGGATCAAGACCATCACTATGCTGGATGAACAAGGGGGTGAGTTGAAGTCATTGGTAGAAACGCTTCATTTGACTTCTGGTGCCAAAAAGCCCTATCAAGTCAACCACATAATTTCAGCTTTTGAAAGTACCTCCCCTTTGAAAGATAAAAATGATACGTTTTTTCTTTTCTTCTGTTTAAAATTATATTGTGATCATTGACTATTTGGGTTAGGGGCACAATGCCCAACTGTATACCCAAAGGTGTGAGGCTGGCGTGACTTAATTATGTGCTTTGGTCATATGTACATTAGACATTACGATATGTTTGCATCATCTCAGAAGTCAAGTCTGAAAACACGTCTAGGTTCAAATGAGCTTGGAAACATTCTATTTGAATTGGCCCTAAGTAATCTGGTCTAGTTTTTATTAGTCTTGTGACAGCCCTTAGATTTTGAGCCTGTTAAAAAAATAGTCATGCTGGTCAAAGTACACTTGACTTGGTTGCCAGGGTGATCTCTATAAACAGCCTTGGCATGCTCCTAGTGTACAGTTTCTTTAGAACAAACTTTTCCACATTAAGAGGCCAAGTGCCTCAGGAGCAGTATGTGAAAGATAGTTTTCATGTTGACAATTTGTAATACCTTCTGACCCTGGTTTGTTCACTGCCGTTATTGCTAGATTTGAGGTTGAAGTTTTCTGCCTCACAATAGCATTTTCTGGTTGACACTTCAAATGTAACACAAAATGTAATTTCCACAACTTACTCTTAGAACAACTAAATCGCATAGAAGAAGGCATGGACCAAATAAATAAAGACATGAGAGAGGCAGAGAAGACTTTAACAGAACTCAACAAGTGCTGTGGCCTTTGTGTCTGCCCATGTAATAGGTGAGTTGATAAATCAAGATCTGTTTAAAATAAATAAATGAATAAAGAGAGCATCTTCTCCTCCCATATACCATGTCCCCCTAGATAAAGATAGAAGTATGACAGCATAATGAGTTACTTTTTATTTTAAAATTTTATTTATTATTATTAATTTTAAAATTTGCTATAGGGTGCATGTGCTCACAAGAGAAATAGAGAAAGTGAGAAAGCAAGCTGCCAGGTCTGGGATTTGAAGGCCATATGGGAGTCCAGCACCTTAACCACCACGCCAGCTGCTGGCCCCATGTGTAACTTTTTAAGATAAACAAGGTATTTCTCCTTCAGGCAGATCAAAATTTTTATGTAAATAGGCTTATTCACTGAAAACCGTGGCTTAAATGACTAATTCTGCTATCAACCCCTATTGTAATATGTAGCAACACATGAGAAGGTTGGGAGCCATACATCTGGATGATACAGAACAGGGTGAGGTTAGCGTATTTCTTCTTTCAAATAAGGATACATATTCTGTGGTAGGCATGTGAAGGATGGTCAAGGCATTAACAGATACAGATCCTGTCTTCAAAAGACTTAACCACGTGGGTGGATAATGAGAAAGGATAACAAAAAATAGAAAATATGTAAATCTGATGTAATTGGATCTTTGTTGATTGAAAGTCATGATGCATTTTTACATAGAAAACAGAAAAATACGCAATGACTTTCCCAACAACCTAATATCTCCTGTGGTACTGACTAAGGCTAGAGGTAAAGAATTGATGTAGGTTAGATTGGAAAACATCTTATAGATGAAGGTATGACATGAATCAGGCTTTGGGTGATTCGAAAAGATTTGGATGGGATCGGCAGGTGGTGTGGTGTTTAAGGCACTGGACTCTCCCGCTTGGGTGACCACAGTTCGAGTCCCGGATCTGGTGGATTCTAGGGACCAGCAGTTAGCGTAATGGCTATGTCGCTGGACTCCCATGTAGTTGACTGAGGTTTGCATCCTGGACCCAGTGATTTATAACTCACGCCGGGCGTGTGTGTGTGCATGCCCAAGATCCCAAGAGGATTCCCTCTCTCTCTCTGTGTCACTCTCTAGTCATATTAAAAATAAATGAATGGGGACCAACAGTTAGCATAATGGCTATGTTGCTGGACTCCCACATAGTCGACCGTGGTTCGCGTCCCGGACCCGGTGACTTAAACTCACGCTGGGCACGTGTGCGTGCGTGCCCAAGATCCCGAGAGAAGAGTGGAGGAGAGGGGATTGTGGCGTGGCCATCCCCCCTGGGGGGTTAAATACAATTAAATAAATAATTCTTAAAAGAAAAACAAGAAAGAAAAGATGTAGATGAGCACAGAGGAGCATTTCTTAAGGAAGGTTCAAAGTAAACAGATTAAGGAAAAACTTGACTTAGCTGAGCTGTATGATCCATGTAGATGAGCAGTGGAAAGTAAGATAAGAGCAGGTAGTAAAGGAACTTGAATGCCAAACTAAGGACTTGAGAGATGGGAGTGACCAAATAAATAAAGACATGAGAGAGGCAGAGAAGACTTTAACAGAACTCAACAAGTGCTGTGGCCTTTGTGTCTGCCCATGTAATAGGTGAGTTGATAAATCAAGATCTGTTTAAAATAAATAAATGAATAAAGAGAGCATCTTCTCCTCCCATATACCATGTCCCCCTAGATAAAGATAGAAGTATGACAGCATAATGAGTTACTTTTTATTTTAAAATTTTATTTATTATTATTAATTTTAAAATTTGCTATAGGGTGCATGTGCTCACAAGAGAAATAGAGAAAGTGAGAAAGCAAGCTGCCAGGTCTGGGATTTGAAGGCCATATGGGAGTCCAGCACCTTAACCACCACGCCAGCTGCTGGCCCCATGTGTAACTTTTTAAGATAAACAAGGTATTTCTCCTTCAGGCAGATCAAAATTTTTATGTAAATAGGCTTATTCACTGAAAACCGTGGCTTAAATGACTAATTCTGCTATCAACCCCTATTGTAATATGTAGCAACACATGAGAAGGTTGGGAGCCATACATCTGGATGATACAGAACAGGGTGAGGTTAGCGTATTTCTTCTTTCAAATAAGGATACATATTCTGTGGTAGGCATGTGAAGGATGGTCAAGGCATTAACAGATACAGATCCTGTCTTCAAAAGACTTAACCACGTGGGTGGATAATGAGAAAGGATAACAAAAAATAGAAAATATGTAAATCTGATGTAATTGGATCTTTGTTGATTGAAAGTCATGATGCATTTTTACATAGAAAACAGAAAAATACGCAATGACTTTCCCAACAACCTAATATCTCCTGTGGTACTGACTAAGGCTAGAGGTAAAGAATTGATGTAGGTTAGATTGGAAAACATCTTATAGATGAAGGTATGACATGAATCAGGCTTTGGGTGATTCGAAAAGATTTGGATGGGATCGGCAGGGGGGGGGGGGTTTAAGGCACTGGACTCTCCCGCTTGGGTGACCACAGTTCGAGTCCCGGATCTGGTGGTTTGCTTTCTCTCTTTCCCTGTCTCTCTCTTTCTCTCTGCGTCTCTCTCCACAGAGCACATGTGCCTTATAGCAAATTAAACACAAGAAAAAAAGCGTCGTCATTCTTCCTGGTGACTTAAACTCACGCTGGGCACGTGTGCGTGCGTGCCCAAGATCCCGAGAGAAGAGTGGAGGAGAGGGGATTGTGGCGTGGCCATCCCCCCTGGGGGGTGATTTCTCGCTTTCTGTCTGTGTTTCTCTCTGACTGTCTGGCGAGCACATGTGCCCTATAGCAAAAACCTCTCAAAAAAAAAAAAAAAAGAATGAATAAATACAATTAAATAAATAATTCTTAAAAGAAAAACAAGAAAGAAAAGATGTAGATGAGCACAGAGGAGCATTTCTTAAGGAAGGTTCAAAGTAAACAGATTAAGGAAAAACTTGACTTAGCTGAGCTGTATGATCCATGTAGATGAGCAGTGGAAAGTAAGATAAGAGCAGGTAGTAAAGGAACTTGAATGCCAAACTAAGGACTTGAGAGATGGGAGTGGAGCCTCTGACTGCACAGCGGTAGACCAGTTAGGAATCATTTGTAAGCTAGGCCTGTAAGGTAAGACTTTGTTCATGAGATTAGAGCAGAAAGTGTAAATCAAAGACAGTTCAGTTTAAATCAAATGATTTTGTATGAAACAAGGAAGAATCAAAGAAGATTCTGAAGATTGGAGTCTCTAGTAAAGTAGGAGATGAAGAATCTTCAAACCGTTTGTAGGAGATTGTACTTGACCTGAAGGAATTCATTATTTTTGATGACTCCATCATGAATTTTTTAAAAAGAATTATTTTATTTATTTGTTTATTTATGTATTTTTATTTAATTTGACCAGAAAGGGGCAGAGAGAGAGAGAGAACAAGCCGCCAGGTCCGGGCCCCAAACCGTGGTCGGCTAGCGCCCTTAACCACCACGCCATCTGCCGGCCCCCATTGTGAATATTTCAATCGTCTACTTACTCATGGGTAAACTGGATTCCACTTTGTTAATAAGTACTGTATGTATTTAGACTATGATGAGGTTTGAACTAAGGCAGTTAACTATTATCTTCTCTCTTGTTAAAGGAGTTCATCTTTATTTTAAAAAGGTAATTAACAGAACAACTTTGAACTTTGTCGTTGAAATGATAGTGTCTAGAGATAGAATGACTATACTTATTGTTGAAACTATTTTTTTAAAAAGAATTATATACGTATTTAATTCCATTTGTTATTTTTGTTATTATTTTAATTTGACCAGAGAGAGACAGACAGTGAGAGAAAGGGAAAGTTAGAAAGCAAGCTGCTAGGTCTGGGATTTGAACTGTAGTCAACCATGTGAGTCCAGTACCTTAACCAACATGCCACCTGCTGGCCCTGAAACTATTCTTTTTAAAGAGCTTCATAAATGATAGTACTTTGATCCAATTATCTCAGCTGGTCTGGTAAACCAATAGTGGCATACTGAGGTTTATAAACTCTCAGCAGTTATTTATTTATTTTTTTTGGAGAGGTTTTTGCTATAGGGCGCATGCGCTCACCAGACAGACAGAGAGACAGAGGGCGAGAAATCCCCCCCTAGAGGGGATGGCCACACCACAGTCCCTTCTCCTCCATTCTCCTCTCAGGATCTTGGGCACGCACGCACATGCACCCGGCGTGAGTTTTAAGCCACCGGGTCCGGGACGTGAACCGCAGTCGACTACATGGGAGTCCAGCGACATAGCCATTATGCTAACTGCTGATTCAAACTCTCAACAGTTTTACTCCTCAAAGGTGTTAGGAATAATGGAAGAGCTTTTGTTATATTGCACTTTCAGGTAAGTGTTTTTATATGACAGGATTTTCTGTGCCATTTCAACTGGAGAAAATATTGTTTGTTTTAGTCAATGTGGTCTTCCTAAATCTGGTCCATTGGCTTCTTACTCTTAAACAAACCTTTTGACCTATTTAGACCTTGGTTGAGGGTTTTTTAAAAAAAGAATTACTTTATTGAACTTTTAAAAATTTTATCAGAAAGGGACAGAGTGAGAGAGAGGGGGAAAGTTAGAAAGCCGGCTGCCAGATCTCGCACTTTAACTGTGGTCGGCCATGTGGGAGTCCAGCACTCTTAACCACCATACCACCTGCCAGCCCCAGACCTTGGTTGAGGATTTAAATATCTGTAACGGAGTCACTAGTGAATTCCTTTGGGTCAAGCAGTGTCTCCAACAAGGTCCTATATTTTAATAATTATGACTTGTCAGTCAGGGTTAAGTAGAATACTTTGAGCAAACAGGTTTTAAATGTACACATTATTGGATTCAAACTCTAAGCCCTGTTTTGCAAACTTACTTGTGCCTTTCTCTCGGGTGTTCCAGAGTACAGAGGAGAGAAATTAGATGACTTTCCTTCTGATTAGATGTTCAGAGAAGAGCGAAAAGGAAATCCTCTTTTGGATCTAGAGCAGGATCAGCTCTAAGTCACGAGCTGATAAACAAGAAGAATAGTAAATCCTAAAATAGTCTTAACAGCACAGAAAGTGAGAAATGGAACTATAGAAGTATCATCTTATTTCTCTTTGTAGATTCCATCTAATGTCTTCTTTGACATTGGTGGGAGAGAAGGTAGTGTGGGTCCTGGAGTAGTCTTCAGCTTCTCAGTACAACAGAAGAAGGAGGTGTGTTTTATTTGTTTGTTTTTAGAGAGAGAGAGATTTTTTGTTATAGGGAGTGTGTGTGTTCATCAGGCAGACAGAGAGACAGAAAATGAGAGATCATCCCCTGGAGGGATGACCACGCTACAATCCCCTCTCCATTCTCCTCTCGGTATCTTGGGCACGGATGCACATGCACTTGGCATGAGTTTTAAGCCGCACTACCTGGGACTTGAATGCAGTTGACTACATAGGAGTCCAGCCACTTAACTATTGCGCCATCTGCTGGTCCAAGGGAGGTACTTCTTAATAGTTAGAAACAAGGGGCTGTTAGAACAGCTGTTAACCATTGTTAACATCATATACTGTAATGGTTATGTGGCTGGATCCCACATAACCACCAAATCCTCGACCTGGTGGCTTAAAACTCACACAGTGCAGATGTGTGTGTGTGTGCCCAAAATCTGAAGGGGAGAATGGAAAAGAAGGGATTGTAGCGTGGACATCCCCCCTACATCCTACTCACTGGAGGTAAAGAGATGAATATGGTACACTTCTGTCTCTCTGTTTAATTATCATTACTCTTTTCTTTTTTTGCCTCACACGGTATCTCTTACATAGTAGGTATTCAATAAATACTTTTTGATTAAATGTCTTGAGAAACTTGTTGGCTGTTGGGAGAGTTAGTCATGTAAAAAAATTTTTAAAAATTATTTATTTAATTTTATTTATCCATTCATTTATTTAAATTTGACAGAGAGAGTTACACAGAGAGAGAGAGAGAGGGAAAATGAGAAAGCAAGCCACCAAATCTGGTACTCAACTGTGGTCGGCCATATGGGAGTGTCCAGCGCCTTAACCACCACACCACCTGCTGGCCCCCTCATGTAAAATTTTTAAAATTTACATTGCAGATAAAATGCATTGTGAAAGTGATAAAGAAAAATACCGAACAGCTTAAAACTCACACTGGGCTTGTATTTGTGTGTACCCAAATCCCAAGAGGAAGATGGAGAAGGGATTGTAGCATGGCCATTCCCCTAGGGTATAATTTCTTACTTTTTCTCTCTCTGTCTCTCTCTGATCAACTTAAAAAATAAAAAGTAAAATAAAAAAACAATGACAATGAATAAAATATAATTAAATAATTATTTTTTAAAAAGAGAAAAAAATCTGAAATCCTTAAGAAAAAAATGAGAGGGGCCAGCAGGTGGCGTGGTAGATAAGGTGCTGGACTCCCACATGGCCAACCATGATTCAAGTCTGGGACCTGGCAGCTTAGAAATCACACTGGGGTTTGTGTTCGTTGAGTACCCAAAATCCTGTGAGAAGAATAGAGTGGAAAGGATTGCAGCATGACCATTCACTCTGGGGAATGATTTTTCACTTTCCTTTTTTTGATCTCTGTCTGTCTCTCTTGGGTGCACAGAAGCACCCTA